GTGTTAGATTGGACTGACTTGGAGGTAGATGAGGATGCCTCGTATGAGGAGAGACCAGTTCGGGTCTTGGATAGGCGGGACCAAGTCTTGCGAGGCAAGACCATTCCTTTGGTAAAGGTTTTATGGAAACATCACGGAGTGGAGGAAGCCACTTGGGAACGTGAATTGGAAGTCCGCGAGAAATATCCGGACTTGTTTGTTGATGTGTAACCATGTATTGGTAATTTTATAATATCGTTGAACTTTAAGAACATTATATGTGTCTTAAGTTGTAAAACATTGTGAATGTTTTGGTTAATGGAAATTTGTTATAATATTGCATATGTTCAATGTATTGTGAAAAACGGGTTGAAATTGGTAAATTTCAAAGGAATGCATGTTGATAATGCAGGTTGTTATGTGTAATGTGATATGCCTCTTGAAAAGAGATGAGATGACCGGTAATGGGTTGGATTGTTTAATATTATGTTGTAGCATTGTTAAGAATGGAGAAAACCTGTTTTTGAAAAACTTGTGTTTAATTTCGGGGACGAAATTCTTTAAGGGGGGGAGGTTATAGCGATCCCGGTTGTCCCTTTACTGTTTTGTTGTATTCCGGACTCGGTTCCGTGAAGTTGGTAGTTGTATCTATCTTGTTGTCATCATTTAATTCCATTTGTTCGGGTTTTAGGATGTATTGGGCAGAGTTGTTCCAGGTTGGTTAGGCTTTGGTTTCAATTCCTTGTTGCCTAGTTTTCTGGAGGTCCGCTCGAGCGGGTCTTCTTGCGTTTGAGTGGAGATTGCACGCTCCCAGTATTTTGGTGCTCTGCAGAACTTCTGCAAGCATGTTTTTCACGCTCGTGCGGGTTTATTTACGCTCGAGCGGTGGTGCTCGAGCGGCTACTCTGGCGCTCGAGCGGGGAGTACTTTTTGGTGTAAGTTCTGGGAGGAGGAAATCTACGCTCGAGCGAACTGGTTTTCGCGCTCGAGCGGATGTACTTTATTCTTGTGTCTTGGCGCTCGAGCGGGCCTTCTTGCACTCGAGCGTACCTAGTTTTTTGTTCTTGACGCTCGAGCGTTGTGTTCTCCGCTCGAGCGGGAATTTCGTATATCAGTTGGCAGCTGGGCATTTTAAAATCACTTTTTACATTCTCTCTCTCTCTCTCTTACGTTCTAAAAAGACATTTTGAGAGTTCGTCTCTCTAGAAAATCCCTTCTCTCTAGGGTTTGATCTAGTTAGAGTGTTTCCTTTTCCTTCGGCCTTTGTAAGAGTTGGGTTGATCGTCGAGGGCTACGTTTTGATCCAAGTATATTGAGTTTTAGAGCACGTTGAGTTTCTTCACCTTCTTTCCTTGAGCTCCGAATTTGAGGTAGGGATTCCTACTCACTCTTATGGGTTTTAACCTAGATTTTGAGCTTATTGTTTAAATGGTTGATTTTGGGACTTAGGGTTTCAAAATGTGTTAAAGAGGGTTTTGTGATTTTGGGCTCATAATATGTATTTTGGGTTTCAGAATGATGATGTAGTTGTTAGTTGGTGATATTTGAACCCTTGAGTTGATATTGAGAGTTGGGGGAAAAAGCCCTAATTTGTTGTTTAAATTAATTGGTATAATTAATTTGGGAAAATTGTAGCTATATGGAGTTGAGTTGGAAATAATGAAATTGGTTCATTATATGGTTGAATAGTGGAGTTAGATTTATTAATCGCTCACTTTTGAAAACATTAATATTTTATTTGTTGGAGCTTTTATTATCTGTTTAGAAATAATTGCTTGGGCTACCGGTGGAGGGTAGTTTTGATTGTTGTAGACAATGCATGATGATTAGGCAAACTAAAACTAATCAATTGGTTATGTCATAGAGTATGACGGTTGATAGAATACATTAACGTTATGTATTGATTGATTGTGTATATGACCTTTGTGTATGTACGTTGTGTGTGTGGGAGGAGATAGGAGATGTACTCCACGGTTTAGGGGAAGATAGGGGATGGACCTCTAAACCAGATGTTGTTTGGAAGGAGATAGGGGATGAACTCCACTGATGTAGCTCATATGTTTGTCAGATAATGTGTTGATATAGCTCATATGCTTATCTTTGGAAGTGTTGATACAACTCATATGCTTATCTTTGGAAGTGTTGATATAGCTAATATGCATATCTGTTGAAATGTGGATACAGCTTGTATGCTTATCTGTTGAGATGTTGATACAACTAGTATGCTTATCTATTGTAAAAATGGGAAATGTTTAATATGAGTCACTGTCTCATATAAGTGGTTGGCTAGGTTCTGAGCCATTGATGTAAATTGTGAAATTGATAAGAAATGGAAATTGAAATGAAACATGAACATAGTGGTCATGAAATGGAAATGGGTTATGAATTGGTTTATGGAAATTGAACATTTATCAATTGCTAATGTCTTAGTCATTGCTCATACTGTGTTTAGCATATCTCTATTGGGCGTTGGCTCACCCTTTATGGGACATTATTTTCAGGTACAGGTAGTATGCCATCTCCAAGGACATAGCTTGGATGATGATGAGAGTTGAAGGCTCTTTTTTTTTTGTTTATTTTGTTTGTATTACATGTATATCAAGCCAAGGGCTTATTTTGTATAGAGTTAGTACTTTTCTTTTGTGTAATCAGGTGTTGACTTGGAAAGCTGTAAGCCCATAGGGCATTTGTTTTTGTTGTTAACATGTAATACAGTTGTAAGAATTACTCTGAAGAATAGAAATGGTTGGTTTCTTTTATATCAATGCATGTCTAAAGTGATGGGTTTTATGTATTTTTTTGAGGGCGTTACAGTAGAGAATGAAGCAATGCATTTGAGGATGTGTTGTGAATGATGAGGATTTATCTGAGGAGGAATTATTAACCCCTGAAGGATCTGATGAGGAGGGTAATGGAAAGCCAAAGTACCCTGAATTTAGGCCTGAGGTTGATATGGCTAAGTTTGAATTTAAAATCGGAATGTTGTTTAATAATGCCATTGAATTTAAAGATCCTGTGAGGGAATATGCAGTGAAAGGGGGCCATGATGTCAAATTCACAAAAAGTGAGACATGGAAGGTTCAAGTCAACTATACTGATGGGTGTGAGTGGAGGCTTTATGCCTCTAAGATGAGTGGAGAGAACACATTACAAATTAAGACATACAAACCTACACACACTTGCAACAAAAGTTAGAAGAACAGACAAATAACTAGTGCATTTTTGGCATCTAAGTATGTGAACAAATTCAGGACCACCCCTACCTGGAAAATAAATGAATTAAAGGACACTGTGAAAGATGACTGTGTTGTAGAAGTATCCAAAATGAAATGTTACAGAGCTAGGAAACAAGCATTGGTGCAACTTGAGGGAACAAATGCTGAACAATATACAAAACTGTTGGATTATGCTGTTGAGTTAATAAGGACCAATCCCAGGTTCAAGATTTGACATCAATGTATGGGGGCCTCAACTTCAAATTAAGCCTACGTTCTAGAGAATGTTTGTGTGCCTTCATGGAATCAGAAGAAGGTTTTTAGCTGGTGTGAGGCCATTGATCGACTTGGATGCTTGTCATTTGAAAGGACCTTGTCAAGGACAATTGTTTACTATTGTGGGATGGATAGAAACAACATGATGTATCCAGTTGCTTATACAGTGGCTGAGAGTGAGAATAAAGAAAGTTGGACTTGGTTTGTAGAGAATTTGTTTGAACGTATTGGCACAAGTGCAGAGCATGGATGGACCTTCATCACTAATCAACAAAAGGTATATGTATGTTTAATGGTTTTTTCATTAGTCTGTTATGTTCTTTAATTTTTTCATTAGTCATGGTTTTGACATTTATGTTTTACAGGGACTGGTTCTAACTCTTGAAAAATTGTGCCTTGAAGGCCATTATAGGTTTTGTTTCAGATATCTTTATACAAATTTTAAAAAGGAGTTTAGAGGGAAGGAGCTAAAGAGTTATGTATGGAAAGCTGCAAAGGCATATGCAAGGGTTGATTGAGAGAAGCATATGACTAAGTTGTATAGTGTAGGCAGTAGAGCATATGATTGGATGATGATACGTAATCCAGCTCAGTGGTATAGGCATGCATTCAATCCCAGAACAAAGTGTAATAGATCGTTGAACAATATTTTAGAGTCTTTTAACAAATAGGCCTTACCAGCTAGAGATAGATCCATCCTCACCATGTTAGAGTGGATCAAGAGGGCTTTGATAGTGAGGCTACATGAATGTAAGGACAAAATGTTGAAGTACCAAGGGCCAATCTGTTCAAATATACAAACTAAGAATGAGAGGTCAAAGGTAAAATCTAGAGTATGGATACCTACTTGGTCAGGGGGTGCACTATTTGAAGCTAGATATGGAGTAAGTAGTTATGTTGTTAACTTAGAGAATAGGACATGCACTTGTTTCAAGTGGGATCTAACTGGAATCCCTTGTCCTCATGTTGTGGCTGTTATTTTCTTTAAAAAAAAAAGAGTTGAGGATTATGTGCACGTGGCTTTCAAAAAAGAGATCTACTTCAAAACTTATAAAGCACTGATTAATCCACTTAATGGCCAAGATTAGTGGCCTAAGACAGGTTCTGAGCCTTTACTTCCTCTGAAGTTGAAAATGCCAACTGGTAGGCCTCAAAAGCAGAGAATTAGAGACCCAGATGAGCCTCAAGACCCATTCAAGTTGCAGAGGAAGTGTACTAGCCTGAAATGTTCCAAGTGTGGTGTACATGGTCATAATCAAAGAACATGTAAGGGGCCTGTCAAGGGTAAAAATGATGGAGCTGCAAGTTCATCAAAGAATACAAGTAATGTATTGGTATGCTCTACTTGTAATTGATCTCCATATATGCTCAAACTGTGGTTTAACAATTTTTTGTTAACAGGTGAGGAGTCGACAAAATTTCATGGGATTCAAATCAGATGCAATATCTGGAGAAGCATCAATTGGTGGCCAACAGCAGCAGCCACCATAGAGGGTATCAATAAGGAGGATATCAACACCAGCAACAATCATGAGAAGAAATGAAGTTGAACAGGTGTTAGGTAGTCAGGCTAGTGTTAATAGAGACATAGTGAACTGAATGTTGTAATTATGAATTGGTTTTTTTTTTTTTTTTTTTTTTTTAATGGCCATGTGACCTGAAGACAGATTATGGATGGTGAACTGCTTATTTTTGTGGTGAACTGCTTATTTTTGTAATGGTGAAAGATGTATATTGGTTTGGAGCAACATATGAATGGTTATTATGCATGCTTATTATACATGATGTACCCAATTGGATGGTTATTATACATGCTTGGAATGTGCTGTATATTGGTTTGGAGCAGGTTGAATAATGGCTACTAATCTGTTTTTGACATGCTTGGTTTTTTACATGCTTGGAACAAGTTGAACAGGTGGAATAGGTTGACCAATTGAATGGTTATTATACATGCCTGGATTGTGCTGTATATTGGTTTGAAACAGGTTGAACAATGACTTGTAATCTGTTTTTTACAAGCTTGTAATCTGTTTTCCCTTCACTTTGACATTTTGTCAAACACATTCAGAGCATTGGCTTTGCAAATGCATCAAATTCATTACAAAATGAATACAACCAAACAAACATTGCCACAATCCAAACACACATTAAAAACAAAACAACGATTTATCATTTCATTCAAAATTATACATTAAGTTCACATTGGCAAGTGCATAGTTACATTACATTTTATTTCCTAATTTGTAGTTGCATTACATTTCCTAAACCAGAAATGCTAACTACCTACCTACCTAACTAACTAACTAAGTAACCTACATTCCCTAACTGCTCATTGTTAACATTCCAATTACAATCACTGCAACAATCAATCCACCTACAATCCATTTTTGTCTACGGCGATAAGTTTGAACATTCTTCTTCAATCTTGTGATCTTAGTTACTATTTCCTCTAAGCTTCCAACCTTGTCCACCAACTTCAGCAACACTTGTCTACCATGAGGACAAGTGGGTGGATCATACCAATAGAAGAAGCCACAAGCCCCTTTTTTTGAAAAAAAATAAAAATAAATAAGTAAATAAATTACAAAATACTAATCAAAGCCAGGTTTTAGGGAACAACAATATACACAAATTTCATATTATTCACGGGACTAGAAAACTTACTCCATAATTTGGACAACCAAGAAACCTCCTAGCTAGGTTTGTATGGGTCCATGAAGTTCGGATTTTTGCTCTCATTCCACAACTGCAACGAGTCGATTCACCCCAATTGTTTCCACCCCAGCTGTTTCTTCACTCATATTTCGTAATTGTTGAAAATGGAGCTTCATTCAGCAGTGGATTCATCGTTCGCATTGCCCTAAATTGATGAAATCGAACAAATTGGGGCAAATTGTAGCCCTAATTGGTGAAATTAAGGATTTGGGGGCTTTTATATGGGTCTAATAAGGAATGATGTCGTTTGGGTTGGTTTCGGCGCCAAAAATGGCTTTCTCGTTACTTCATGAAACGGAGATGGACGGGGGGCTTACATTGCGACACAGAATGAATTATAGGGTTTTAATTGTCAAAATTAAAAACCTGGGGTTTAATTTGCAAAACACACTAAACCTTGGGGTTTTTTTTGTAATTTGCCCAAATATTTTTAAAATTTTAAATTAAATGGGCTAGATGAACAAATAGTTTTATCACATATGTATTTCTTAATTTAAAAAAAAAAATCATAAAATCAAAAATTTTAATTTAGTACTTTCGAGCTCTCTTAATTTTTCCTTTTAGATTTTTGTGAAATAACAGATTTAGACAAATCAGGAAGGATCTTTTATGGGAAAATTAAGGAAAAGTCTTTTACAAGTTTGTGTAAGATATCCTTTATCAAACACCAAAACATAGTAAATAAGTTACCTCTAGTCCGAGATTGGACTGGACAGTGTTGTTCGGTCCGTACGGGCCCACCATGGGTCCCGTTTTGATAGTTTGAACCGTTCAATGTGTAGAACTTGTTGATTACTATATGCCTGTAAAAAATCACGTTGATCGGATATAGGATATGCTCGTAAAAAACTGTTCAACGTGATTGTGATTTTTTACAGGCATATAGTACTCCCCAAAACATATCTCTAGGGTTCTGAATCAAACACCAGGATCTTATAATCTCTAGGGTTTTGAATCACCAATACACAGACATATCACTGATGGCGAAGTGTCTAGGTTGTCGTTCGTTAGGTCTCCGGCATAGGTAGCATCACTGGTGAATGGGAACATGAAGCACCGCGATCTGAGTCGGACCATCGCGATACGGGAGAAGATGGAGGTACTTTTATCCTTTAGTTTCTTAAAACAATTTTAAGTTTTTTAAATTGTTTTTAAGTCATTGATCTTGTTTGATTACATTTTACCTTCTTAAAAAATATAAACATAATTTTTGTGATTTGGAGTAAAATGCAAAACTAATAGTGGTTTTAGAAGCACCTATTTATATATAATAAAATTGTATAAGCTCAACCTGTTGTTCTTCGATGCTTGATCTGTCTCTCTAAACCTTTTATCTGCAAATTGTTATGTGCATGACACTCGAATCATTTTTATTTTTTAAAAATAAGTGGGTTTGGGAAGGGTTGTGATGTGGTACAATTTCTAGAGAGAGATAGAGGAGAGACTGTTATGCAATGGCATAAAGAAGAAAATTAGAGGAAAAAATAAGGGTTTGGTAGAGTTTTCTAAATATGATTTGAGAATATGATTTGTATTTTGACTTTGTGAGTTTTGGAATTATGATTTGAGTGTAGAAAAATTTGTTTGGTGAATGAGTTTTGAATTGAGTGATGTGACATAATTTTTGATACAAAAACGTACAACTCATAACCAAACACACAACCCAAAATTCTATTCAAAGCTTATAAATTTTTTTTAAAAAAATTGAAAATATTTTTTATTTAAAATATAAAAATAACATGAGCAAAAAAAAAAAATACGAACACTGTAGCGGTCAATCGGCCGGATGTCCGGGGGGATGGCCGGGTATACGAATTTTCAAATGCGAGTGTGGATATGATTTTTGAAAACTGTAGACAAATGCCGCACTGAAACAAAAAGATAGAATCATGATTCAAAAGCTGTACCAAACACAGCCAAGGGTAATTTTGACTTTTTGTGAAAATCATTAAAGGATTTAGGTTGAGAACTTTAATCCAATCCACAATGGAGTTGTGTACATTTTAAATCTCAAGGGGTAAGTGTTTTACGAACAATCCACGAGGGGATAAAGTATAATTAACTCTAATAAAATTTACCCATATGAAGTTGTTAAAGTTTGGATTGATATAATGTTACTAGAATTCGAGCTTGTTTGGTGCAACTTTTAGCAAGCCGAAAGTTGATCATTAGAAGTAGAAACTTATAACACCTCAATAATTAGTGTTTTGTTTTGTTTTTTTCTCTCTCCAGTTTATTTAAGTTATTTTGCCTAAAATATTGTAAGCAAAAGTTACATCAAACACTGGCACAAATTTCCAAATCAAAAAAACTATAAGTTGCTTTAGAAGCTGCACCAGACAGCCCCTTTATACACCATTACCATGCTTTAAGTTGTTTAGCAAATTATGTATATAAAAAAAAAAAAGTAACAAATTTGTGTAGTTATTGATAACTTGTGTTAAATTGTAATTTTTTATTTTCTTTTTGGAACTGTTGTTAGTCTGGTTGGACAAGCATTTGCCTAAAGGACCTAATTAGTAACTTGCTCGATGGACTTCTCGTTTCCATTTTGTCTCGGTTGGAAATTGAAGAACTAGTGCCCTATCTCACAGATAGAGATATTTGTGGACATTCACTAGTAGTTTGATATTCAAATTTTGCGATTAGCAGATAGTGGATCATGAAGATAAGTTATTTGGTCTTAAATGTAGGCAATTTGTTGATTGGGTTAATCATATCTTGAAGTTTCATCATGGTACAATTATTGATAAATTCAGCATTCAATTTTGTTTGGATGACAAAATCTTTAAAAATGATATTGATGGTTTGTAACGGCCTCAAAATAATAACATTAAACCCATCAATTTAGACATGCATTGGTATAAAAGATAAATATTCTTCTATTCATCAGAGTAGTTCTTTACAATGAGTGTTACATGTTAACAACAAAAGGAAATGCCCTACGGGCTTACAGCTTTCCAAGTTAACACTTGGTTACAAAAAAGGAGTACTAACTCAATTACACATTAAACCCTTGGCTTGAATTTACATGTAATACATCCAAAAGACCACAAAACAACAAAAGCCTAACTGCCTTTTGCCTCCCAAGCTATGTTCTTGGAGGTGGCATGCTACCTGTACCTGAAAATGATGTCCCATAAAGGGTGAGCCACAGCCCAGTAGAAATACACTAAACCAGCCATGAACAATGACTAAAAGATTAGCAGTTGATAGATGGTCAACACAGATACATCCACACATATTACATTTCGATTTCATGACATTAAGTCCATGTTACATTTCATTTCCCATGTCTTTTCCAACTTTGAGTTTGAAACAAGGCTCAACTCCTAGCCAAATAACTTAATGAGATTTAGACTTATCTTTAAAACACTTTTCAAAATTCATGAGGGATACACATTTTAATGCTGTATCAATAACACATAAACCATTCCCACACTTTGCGAAAGATACACATTTCGGTGCTGTATCAACATAACATAGAATCACTTCTATACTTACAATTGATAACGATATGCATTTTAGTGTTATATCAAATCAATTCAAACACTTCCATAATCAACACTTGATACACATTGTAGCGCTATATCAATGTCACACAAAATCCGGTTTAGAGGTCCATCCCTTATCTTCCCATAAACCGTGAAGTACATCCCGCATCTCCTCCGACACAACACATGTATATAAACATAGATCATATACAATCAATCAATACATAGAATTAATGTATTAATCCAGTTGCTATATTCAACAGCCTACTCAATCGATTAGTTTTAGTTTGTTTAATCATCATGCAGTGTCTACAACAATCAAGACTATCCTCTATCGATAGCCCAAAGTAGTTATTTCTATATTGAAAATAAATACACCAAATGGGGATATAATCAACATTTCAACTAGGTGAGCGATGAACAAATCAAACTACACCCTTTAGTCCCATACACATCCAATTCCAACATTCTCAATTTAATTCTTCTTTTCTTCAAATTAATTATATCAATTAATTTATCAATGTAATTAGAGCATTTCCCATAATCAATATCATAACCCTAAGGTTCCATTTTCACCAATAATCCAATATTGATCTCATTTCTTTATGCCAAACATGCATATAAGTTTATATAAACAAAACCCCAACTTTTATAAAATTACACAAAGGCCCAAACTTTCTCAAAATTACCCAACAACCCCCAACTCATCAAAATACTAAAATTCAAAGACAAAACTCATGAGAAGTAGTAGGATATCCCTACCTCGAAGTTAGAGATCAAACGGAGAAGAGACCAAAATCAAAATGCTCCAAACTCCAAACTTTTCGGATCAAAACGACGCCCTTGACGATCAACACAACTTTTACAAAGGCCGAAGGGAAAGAAAACACTCTATCTAGATCAAACCCTAAAGAGAAGGGAGTTTCTAGAGAGAGAAGCTCTCAAAATCGATTTTGGGAAAGTTAGAGAGAGAGAAGAAAAGTGAAAAGTGATTCAAAAATGCCCAATTGCTATCTGATATACGATAGGTTCGCTCTAGCGGAAAACACAACGCTCGAGCGTCAAGAACAAAAAGCATGGTCTGCTCGAGCGCAAGAAGGCCAGCTCGAGCGCCAAGGCACAGAGATAAAGCACATCCGCTCGAGCGCGAAAACCAGTTCGCTCGAGCATAGATTTCCCTCTCCCAGAACTTTCATAGACAAAACACTACACGCTCGAGCGCCAATAGGTCCGCTCGAGCGTAAGAAAACCCGCTCGAGCGTAGAAAACACACCTGCAGAAGTTTTGCAGAGGCACGAAATACTGGGAGTGTGTAAACTCCGCTCAAGCGGTCAACCAAAAGCAAACTCCGCTCGAGCGCAAAATGTCCCGCTCGAGCGTAACACCAAAACTCTGGGCAACAACACTTGAGACCAAGACTCAATCTACCTGCTCGAAACACGCTCAACACATCCTAAAATTCAAACATAAGGAATTAAAGGGCAACGACAAGATACACAACTACTAACTCCACGGAACCAAAGTTCCGGAGTACAACAAATACAAAAAGGAAAACCAGGATCGCTATATGGTTGGATCAACTTTGCCTTTCAAAAGAGAGTTAAAAGGCTCAAGTTCAACTTTAGATGTACCTAGACAAATGGGAATTGGAATTACCCTCTTACTGCTCATATCCTTCATTATTACAGACTTGATTCCCTAATGAGCCTCTATTTGTGCCATGTAGATGTGACAAGGGAAGTTTTGGAATACATTTTGTTCGTTTGCCCATTGCTTGAAGAGTTATTGTCACGACCCAAACCCGCCCCTATGGATTTAGTGCTGTAACTGGCTAACAATCCTTGGATTACCAAAGGCCTCTGAACAGAATAACTTATAATTAGGGGCTACGGAAGCAAATATAGAAACATACATAGTCCATTGAACTGTGGAGACATATATGGGACATTTTTTTTTTTGTAAACTTTACACACATATATGTGACGCCATAATGCAGTAGTCTTCGTCACATTCATTACAGATATAGCCAAAAGGGACTTAGCCCAATATATAGATAATAGAAAACTTGTTCTATACCCAAAGGAAGACAAGGTCTTAAACACAAGCCATTTAAACTTGACTCGCTCACAAAAAGGAACCTCTTCAGAGGCACAACGGCTGACTGACAAAACTGATGTGCCAGGTCCTTAATTCTGAGCTTGGTCACGTGCTTGATCACCTACATACATAATATAAATAATGAGCGGAAGCCCAGTGAATAATAACAAAGTAAAGGGTTTAAATGAATGATGTCCATCACAAATATAACTTCAAATCTCTTATTGAATAGAAGCATAACCATATTCGTATCAGAAACAGAATCATAAACATATTCATATTATGAGTGGTGTATCCGTTAGCATTAAACATATTTCTTTAGTCAAGCTTATTAAGTTCCACATTGGAACCTCCGGTACCGGGTAACATATCTCATACATGGGCCACGGTATTGTTTGCCCCGAGCGAGGGCCTGTGCCACGGTATTATTTCCCCCGGGCCAGGGCCTGGGCCACAGTATTGTCTCTCCTGAGTGAGGGCCTTATGACCATAAGCCACAGTATTATTTCCCTTGGGCGAAGGCCTCCGCTAAGGATACCACATAGACATTTCAAAGAATTGGATCATCATTCACGTAATCACAAAATAGCCTTTTGCATCATTCAAAAATAGTTCATATCATATCATAATGTTCAGAAAGTATTTCATATCAAACATAGCTTTACTAAGTTATTACTCACAGTTAGTTTCATAGATAGCTTGGCAGCAAACCAATGGATCAACCGCTCATGGCGCGTGACCTATACCAATCATAACAGATACATATACTGAAACAAATGCTTGGATTGTACGTAACTCATTTCATTTTGTTCTTAGTATGTTTCTAGCCTTCACTCTCATTATTGTGTCTTAATCTTGGCCTAGGAATGCCTAAGATGCAATGAAGATGCCAAAATGCACCTGGAAACACTTAACCAAACTTGCTGAAAACAGGGGTCCCGCTCGAGCGTAACTTCTTTCGCTCGAGCAGACATGCAAATATGTGAGGGACCGCTCGAGCGCAACTTCATTCGCTCAAGCGGTTTGCAAACTTTGAAAAAGTACTGGTTATGTGATTTTCACGCTCGACGATCGCTTGAGCGTGAGACTCAGGTCCTCGCTCGAGCGCAACTCTTGTTGCTTGAGCGGTCTGCAAAAACATGAAACTTCTAGGAGCTTGCATTTCACGCTCAAGCGGACTTCTGGTCACTTAAGCGGAGATGCAAAAACAAAGGTGGCCGCTCGAGCGCAGGATTTGTCGCTCGAGCGGAGAGGTCGAATTCTGGAATTTCCAGATTCACTTCCAAGCTTCCAAACTCAACTTCAAAGCTACAAAACTCATCCTTTAGGGCCAAAATCTTGAGAAAACACATTTAAACTTGGAAAACATTGAGAATTCAAGATCATTTCATGAAATCAAGGCCCAAAAGCATGCCAAATCTTAAAAACTAAGCTCAATTATTTGAAAAACATAACATGCATGTATTGTCTTGACTTAAAAACTTCCAAAACATGATCAATTGGTATGAAATGGTATTAATCAAGATGAATTCTCAAAATAAAGGTAAGATGGGCACATGCATGAGAGAATTCTTTGAAATCAAATTCAAATTGTGTTCAAATGGACATGCATGCATGAGATGCTCCTCTTTTCTATCTCCTAGTTCAATTCTTGCTTAACTTAGCTCACTTCTCTTGAATATATGTATGAAATGGCTTAAACTCAAACCTAAAGATTGAATTCTCACCTTAGATGTTTAATTATGCTCTAGAGTGCTAAAATCCTCCAAAGTCTCTTCTAATGCTTAGCAATCCCTCTCTTTCCTTCTTTGTTTGTTGAATTCAATTCTCAAGCTTTCCTCTCCCTCTCTTCTCACATTTTTGGGCTTATAAGGATGAAGATGAGATGTGTCTTAAGTGGTATATAGGCTTGCTTAATGGTCCTTAATTAATTTAGCTTAAACTAATCATAGTGGCCTTAATTAATCTAATTTAATCGTTCTGAATCGACTTTCAATTGAACCTACTACAATGTTCTAAAAATTCCAAATAACACATAAACCAAATCAATTTCGTGATTGAATGCCGATAAAGCCTTCAATTCACAAAACAAAACAGAAATTCAAATAGATATTTTTACATTAGACAAATATGAGCACACATAATGCAACACAAATGCAATTTCCTCAGAATTTCACCTTAATTACTTATTAGGCATAATTAATCATGGTTAGTTAGCTAATCACAAGGCGGGGTTGTTACAGTTATCTATATTGCATTCACGATCTTTGGTAAATTTTGCAGTTTCTGGGCCTTCATTCAAGCTAAAGTACTTAGAGATCGAAGGTTGCTTCTGTTTGAAAAGTGTTGATATCTATGAGGCAAATCTAGTGTCGTTTAAATACAATGGACTAAAGGCCTACATTGCCTTTAAAAACACACCGCATCTTGTTAAGGCATCTTTTGATGGGCCTTAGGCTCGCTATATTATTAAGAACTTTATACAGGTTTCAAGCTATCTCCTTCAACTAGAGACATTTGTATTGAACTTGAGTTAGGGACTTAAGGTTAGCATGTGATTCCATGTGTTTGTATGTGTCTCATTTATTTTTTTCTTTTATCATCTTTTTTTTTTTTTGGAGGGGGGTCTCTAAAAAATGTTAAGCTTATTAATATTTGTTGTCTTGACTTTTGGTTGAACTGTCTAGAAGTTGAGATGCTTCCCTAGATTTCCCAAGTTAAGGAATCACAATTGAAATTCATGCTCAATCCTAGTGTCTCTAGGCTCCTTTGTGCATACCTGCTAAGGGCGTCTCCTTTATTGAGGATACTTAAAATTGAGGTGAATATGCTTACTTTACACCTATAGAAAATAGGTACACATTCAACGCTTCTGTTTTTTCTTCCTAATTTGCCTATATCATCAACAATGTATATGATTAAATTGTGATTGAAGAACTATAGGCACCATCTTTGTATCTCATTAGAAATAGATCTTCATGGAGGTAAATCTTCTCATCTCTTATATATCTATATATATACATATGTATACACAAAGGAATATATATACATGCTTAACATATCTTGTAAATCCATCAAAATGAATTAACATACAATAGCGGCTTCCACTTCCACCAAGCAAAGAATGAAATAGAATCTATTAGATGATATAATGGATCCTAAACTCACCTTTAGTGTAAGTATGTGTAGAACGGATCCTGATCCTCTCTATAGCGATCCCGGTTGTCCCTTTACTGTTCTGTTGTATTCCGGACTCGGTTCCGTGATGTTGGTAGTGGTACACCTTGTCGTCATCCTTTAATTCCACTTGATTAAGTTTTAGGATGTATTGGGCAGAGTTGTTGCAGGTTGGTTAGGCTTTGGTTTCAATTCTTTGTTGCCCAGATTTTTGGAGGTCCGCTCGAGCGGGTCTTCGTGCGCTCGAGCGGAGATTGCACACTCCCAATTTTTCGTGTCCCTGCAAAACTTCTGCAGGTGTGTTTTTCACGCTCGAGCGGGTTTCTTTGCGCTCGAGCGGTGGCGCTCGAGCGGGTAGTACCTTTGGGTGTAAGTTCTGGGAGGGGGAAATCTACGCTCGAGCGGACTGGTTTTCGCGCTCGAGCGGATGTGCTTTATTCTTGTGTCTTGGCGCTCGAGCGAGTCTTATTGCGCTCGAGCGGACCTAGTTTTTGTTCTTGACGCTCGAGCGTTGTGTTTTCCGCTCGAGCGGGAATGTCGTATATCAGTTGGCTGTGAGGCAGTTTTAAATCACTTTTTCTCATCCTTTCTCTCTCTTACTTTTCTGAAAAAGCCATTTGAGAGCCTCGCTCTAAAACCTTGCCTTCTCTCTAGATATTTATCTAGCTAGGGTGTTTTCCTCACCTTTGGTCTTCACAAAAGTTGGGTTGATCGTCAAGGGCTATCTTTTGATCCGAGAAACTCGCGGTTTGGAGCAATCTCGTTTTCGCCATCTTCTTCGTTAGGTGTCATCTTTTGAGGTAGGGATTCCTACTCACTCTTATGGTCTTTGACCTAGATGTTTAGTGGTTTTGATAAAATGTTGAGTTGGTTGATTTTGGAACTTAGGGTTTCAAAAAGTGTTAAAGAGGGTTTTGTGAATTTGGGCTCATAATATGTATTTTGGGTTTCAAATGGTGTTATTGATGTTGGTTGTTGATATTTAGACCATTGGGTCAATATTGGGAAATGGAGTATTTTTTGAAACTTTTTACAAGGTTAAAAAACCAAAATCTTCAAAATTTTTTTTCTAAAATCTCTTCTTTTTTTTTTTTTTACTTTTTGGAATGGCGTTTTCATGATGACACACATAACAGCTGAAATTGGTCTCTTAATGTTTTTTTCCTACAGAATTTTTATTTTTGGAGACAAAAAAATTTGATTCCTAAAACCCTTAGGAATTGCTATTATATATTTGGGTGTGTGCAAACCCATGCTTGACTCGAGCATATGTTGTTTGGAACTTTATTTGGATTATATTTTCTCTTTTGTAGTTTTGGGACTTCAAGGACTCCACAAATAACTGAAGATATGAAGGCCTAAACACCTACATAAAAGCCTCAAGGTGCTTGAATTGAATGGATTTGTTGGATGCAAATCTGAGCTGCAGATTGCCTCATACATACTCGACAATACTGTGTCACTTCAGTAGATAATCATTGATCTAGCCATCCAAATAAATGGGCACCTGAAGATCTTAACAAGCAATAACTGGCTATGACTCGTGCTAGGAAGCACTTGGAAACAAGATTACCTTTTGGGACACAATTGGTGTTGAGATAACGATTTATGAACTTCTTGGCTCGTATCTACTTGTATACTGGGTCTTTAAGGATACAGGTTTTTATTTTTATTTTTTGGGGCACAATCTGCTTAGTAGTGAGAAAACTAATATTAGTTGGGGGATTTGATGATAGACCCCTCACTGTCTAATTTGTCTTTCAAAAGGACAAGAATTATATAGATCCTTTCAAAACCCCCTAATATTTTAAAACTTGTTTCTTTTACTATACTACCCTCATATATATATATATATATATTAGCTTTCCTGTAAAGTCATTCTCATAGTGTATTTCAGAGTAAAATTTTACTCTAAATCAAAGTAAAATTTATTATGTTTCGAAGAAAAATTTTATATCGTTAAACACATATATTGCCTTAGAGGTAAAATCTTACTCTCATTTTATCAAGCAAAAACAGAGTACATGCCAGAGTAAAATTTTACTCTTATTCTATCAAACAAAAACAGAGCACATACTAGAGTAAAATTTTACTCTCATTCTGTCAAACAAAAATAGAGAACATACTAGAGAAAAAAAAAATAGAGAAATAGAGAGATAGAGAAAGCACATATATTGCCTTAGATTTGGTTAAAACCAGAGAAAAATTTTACTGTCTGAAAAATAGAGCATGATGATAAGACAAAGAGAAAAAAAGGGAGAGAATATAGATCTGAGATGATAGATTTCAAACCTGAGGTCATCAATCTCAGATCTGAAGTATTGGACGCTAAGGATAACGATGGTGGCATCGAATGGTGCTGGTGGTTGAGATGCTAGTGGTGAACTGATGGTGGTGGTGTTGGTGACGAACAACATCGATGGTTGAGACGGTGTTGGTGGAGACGACGGAGGTAGTGGAAACAATGGTAGTCATAGTAATCGTGGTAGTACAGATGGTGATGGTGGTGGTGGTGGTGGTGGTGTAGACGATGGTGGTGGTGGTCATGGAGGAGAGAGCTTTTAAAAAGAGATAGAGAAAGAAAGAGCTGAGAGAGAGATAACAAACTGATGGACAGAAAGAGAAGAAAGATCGGAAGTGTGTGTGTGAATGGATAAATTTGTCACACAAAATATAAATCTCAAGATTTTTGTCCTTTATACAAGACTTTATAATTATGAGGGGGTTTTGAAAGTATAATTTATTTATTTTTTTTGGTTCTTTTAACAAGAAAAGGAAGGTAAAAAGGATTTATGGCCAAATTTCCCATATTAGTTATTACGAATATTATTTAAATCGGTGTTTAATCTGAACTTTGAATTTGAGGTGAAGGTTATTTACAATAAGGTGTGGTGTTATTATTATTATTTGGTTGGGTTTTTATTTTATTGCATTTCAGTATAATTATTTTCCCCCTCGTGGAAAGAAATTTGGCTGCAAATTTAGCAAAATTATTGCTACCGTAATGCTAATACAAGCAACTGAACACTGCTCATCTAGGCATCATCTAGTGTTTCTAACATTTATCATGTATGCAGTTGGCAAATGGGTGGGTTTAGTTGGGTCAGTATGGATTATGCAATAAAAGAATTTAATAAAATTTATTGTCCAAGTTAACATACATACATAGTAAAATTTCATTATGTAAATGTTAGCTTTAACAGTGAAATTTCGTTATCAACATCTCCAACCACTACAATGATCACAACAATTCTCATTTTTCATATCAAATTTATTATGATTTTAAATATAAAAAGCAAATAAGCAAGACTCAAAATTAATATAAAAAAATTCAATTTGCCCAAAAAATAAAGAAATTGATTCTAAATGTTTATAAATATAAAAACATTTTTTTAAAAATTCAATTTCATTGCTTGGATAAAAAGTAAAAAATTCTCCATACAATAAAATTTTACTCTTATTTTACTGCGAAACGGAATTTGGAAAAACCCTTTTGCGGGAGTAAAATAGGACACACGCACACTCTCTTTATCTGTTGTAAGGATTATGGAAATTATATAACTTTGTGTGATATCCAAAGATTGCCACAAAAATAAGGGACCACATTAACAATGTTGATGGTGAGGGATAAGGATTACATTGTGTTGAAAATAATTTCCCGGTAAATTAATTTATTAATTTAAATATCAAAGCAAAATTCAATATTCAATAAATAAACTAAAACCAAGTAATAGAAGATACTTACAAATACTGTAAACAAAAACCAAAATAATTAACAGAGGTGTGATTGAGGCTAGTGTTTAGACACTGTGTCTTTAAGACAAAAATTTTCCTTCTTCACTGGTGCTTGAGATTTACGGACGTCTTATCTCCAAGATACAACAATCACCTACACACAGAAGTAGCACTACAATCTGTGTGTACTGTAAACCAGATTTTTGTTAAGCATTCTCTCAACAAAACCAATAAAAAATAAAGATGAAGATGATTATGAACACTGCCACAAGAAGACGAAAAAGCTAAGATCCAATCTATCTTTTTCTAATCTTGAAATAAGAGATTGCTTTGCCATTAAATACGCAATAACCGTAGCAGGCAATAGTCACCTATGTGACTGTTCGGCCAAGAAAGGTGACCGTTGGAGACCAAGGTTTGAAAACTGAAATTTGGTTTTTTTTTTTCTTCTTCAAATAATGGTTTCTCCAAAAATTATAAGTGCCAACCCAACCCACACCTGCTTGTGTGTGTTTTGGATTGAGCCTACCTCGGTCCATAACTT